ATCACATGGTATGTGTTTGTTAGATATTAAACATTAGTAACTTGGTGCAACAGATTACATGGTATGTGTTTGGTAGATATTAAACATTAGTAACTTGGTACAACAGATCACATGGTATGTGTTTGGTAGATATTTACAGACCATGTGATCTGTTGCACCAAGTTACTAATGTTTATACCAAACACATACCATGTGATCTGTTGTACAAAGTTACTAATGTTTATTGGTACATATTAGACATTAGTAACTTGGTGCAACAGATCACATGGTCTGTGTTTGGTAGATATTAAACATTAGTAACTTGGTGCAACAGATCACATGGTCTGTATTTGGTAGATATTAAACATTAGTAACTTGTGGATAATTTCTTGTCTTTTTCTGTTCAATATGTTTCTTTAAATAATGTGACACTAGTATGTTTAAGCCATAATGTCACAACCACATACACTGATGATGTAAGTATTTTTTCACTTGTTCCATTGATTAGGAACTGAGTGACTGTGCAAAGATGATCAAATCAGTGTTTAAAAACCATTCTGTCACATCTCAGAACGTTATCTCAAAGCTTTGTAACAAAAGTGATGCAGTGGACACAATTGGTAGAGTTCTTAGTAAAAGGATAATGGATCCAAGATGGGAAATAGTAGATAGTGTCCTTGAACTGCTTGGAGATTTGGTTTTCATAGTTTCTGGTAAGAATTATGTTTCACATTTTTTATATACTGGAAAGTGAATTAGTCATTTATTGTACTTATAATTCTTAGCCAGTGTTTCTAATATTTTAGACAGAGTTAATTTGTATGATGTTGTATAATCTTTTTATGGAAATTTATTTAAGTGGTGTTATAAAATCATAATGATTATTTATTCTCCAAATTGCATATAGTTTGCATTCTTTGCAAACATTTTTAAAACAGCTTTTATCTTGCATAAGGCAGTTTATAATTTTCAAGGATTTTAAACAGTTATGATTTGGTACTTGTTAACCTTTCTGAAGAAGTAAAAGCTGAGGCTCAACTAGAATTTTAACATGTATCCCTGACATGTTGACTAGACAGGTGGTCTCACTAAACTTGGTAGTAGATTTAAATACTGCAGACCTCAGTCTTCACTTCATTGGTTTATTGCAGCAAAAAGTGGCAGAATTCTAAAGCTGTGACCATCAGCATCTCTAGATCCGAGTCCAAACTGCCATTTATGTTTGACTGTCTCCACTTTCACTTCAGTAAGTTATTGTGGCAGAAATTTCAAGCTATGACAGACAGCATCTTGATCTCTGAATACATACTACTGTTTGTGGTTGTACATACAGATATTACCATTGTTTAGTTTGCCTTGTATTTTTAACTATTCCATGCAGAATAAACAATTATTATTCTTTCTTGACATTCTACATTGTTGTTTTAAGAAACATTTGTTTCAACTTGTTACTTGTTTTTTAAATGATAGAGTTAAGTGAAATAAAGCAACAAAATAAACAGACTCTAATTTTAAAATTGTTTACAAGTAATACAATACAAATAAGTTTTCCAGCTGTTTCTTTATGTTATTACTTGTAATAATTAGTAATCTTTTTTTTAGCTAATATATATATATAAATAAAACTTTTTTGTTGTGTAGATTATTCGTTGGATTCAGAGTGGCTCCTTCATCATTATCTTGTCTCCTTTACATGGGAGTTGGTTATAAACTCCTATTTAGAAGGTTATGTGAAAGCTTCTGCTATTCGTACTCTTGGTCTGATGTGCTGTAATGATACAATTTGGCATCACTTGAAGTCAAAAGATGCCTTGACTGAGGTATCAATGTTTCCTTAATTAATTAAAAGATTTAAATTTATCATTTCTATAAAAAAAAAAAAATTCAAGTGGTTCAAATATTTGGCTTAAGATTTAAACTGTCTTTATGCATAATGTTTTATCAGGTTCCTTAATAATGATTTCAAAAAATAACTGTTCAAATTTATAAATTTATTTTTAGCACTTTTTCGTTTTTGAATTTAATCGTCTTCAGATAATGAGATTATTTGAGAAAGAGTGAATAACAGAAAGTTGTGTTAACATTAAGGCATAGTACTTTTTTTTGCTTCTGCGTTTAATCGCTTATCACTTTCAGACATTTCATAGTTTAATAAAACTGGCAGAATGTTATCTGATACAGTTGATACAATTCTCAGGTCATTAAGTATCGCGAAGAACTGGTAAATAGAATTAATGTGTTTTCAATCATTATGAATAATCACATAATTATTATAGTTTCAAGTTAATGCTAAAAAAAAGTAATTATATAATTGGTGCTAAAATATTTCAGCGGACAAAAACAATTTCAAATATAAATTAAGATTTTAATGTAAATAATATTCTGGCTATATTTAATAATTTCTATTATCAAATTGTCATCCACCCAACTCATTTAAATCTAGTGAGTAAAATGTAAGCAGGGTGAGGGATACTAGTACTAGTAGGTTCAATATGCTTTGACTGTTTTGCTAAACTGAAGTTGATATATGAGGCTTCTTTTACCTGTCTGATTGATGGACAGCTGTCCAATCATAAAACACATATTAAAACCAATGATATCCAAGCATCTCAGAAATGGAAAACAATTGAAAAGGTTCAGCATAGAAGTAGTCTTAATGGTGTGCACTTTTTACCCATTTCCTACCAATATACATTTTTCTTCCATTGGACATTATGTATGGAATCATTTAGATGGTGTCTAAATTGGATAAAGACAAGCACGATCCAATGAAAGTTGGGTGGGGGACCAAATTATAAAACAAAATTCTCAAATTTGTTTTCAATAATTAAGGACTTTTTTCGTTACAAATGAAAACATATTATAAACATACTTAATGTAACAGATTATTTTGAGTCTCTTAGATTGTGTTATACATGCGACGGTGAAAATATGGATAGAACCTACAAATTTCAGACTCCAAGGAAATCAACACATGTAATTTTGTCCACTTTTTTGTTTTCTTTTCAGAAAAATGAACAAAGTACTCAAATGTCAGGCTTGTAACTCATAATGGAATAAAATCAGAATCTAATTGATGAACAGGACAAGAACTGAAATACAAATTCTAGAAAGATAGGCAGAAGTTCGTGTATGAACATGCATAATGTTCCTTATCTGCCTTTTAAAATACTCCATTTGTAAATGACTGTTCAGTAACTTGCTCTAGTGTAAACTGATTTGTTACAAGTATTGTTTTCAGGGATCAAACTTAAGGTTTGGCAGTCTTTAGCTGAGATGTTCCAAATTCACTTGCAGTTGCTCTATCAGGGAGCTGTTAAGGGAAGTCTTGGTGAGATGAATTCAATTGAAATTAATTTAAGCAGTATGCTGGCAAATGCTACATAGTAGTGTGAGAATAATGATAATAATCTTTAGAGATAATAAAGAGGAAACTTATTTTCAAAATTAACTGGAATGAAGCATAAAATTGTCAAAAAGAACAAAATTATTCAGATAAATGAAATTGCATTGTTTGGAACTCGTCAAAATACTGGACTGAAAGACTGTAATTTTAAAATCTAGCTATGATTACTGCACCATTTTGACTCCACATGTAGTTTGAACATGGAAAACAAGCCATGTTATGCAACAAAATTTGACAGTCTTCTGATGCTCATACTGGTCCAACTGAGGCAAAATCCCTAGTGTGTTGGTTATTGTCTCATATTTCATGAAATGACTAATTTCTACTTAACTGGTCTAATTATTACAATTACAAACATTTTTATACAGTATCTATTTAAATATTTCATGAAATGGCTAGTTTGTATATCGGCCGGTCTGTAATTTTGATCATTGGAGCAAGAGTTAAATGGTAAAAGTCGAGTGTTTACTAGTCGTCCTAGTAGTACATATTGAATATTTAATTGACCTAGAATACACCAGAGGGCACGTAGGCCCCTCTGGCTTCTGGAAGCCACCTATTTCCCCAGACATTAAGGGGCTAGGATTCAGGACCAGACATAAGTTTTATTTGTTGTTCTTATCCTTGATTTATACATTAGATTTGCCAAGTTGATGTCAGATCAGTAGTTAAAGTGTAAATATAGTAAATAAACTATATTAATCAACTTGAAAAGCAAGTATATTAACTAGGACACAACAAGCAGGGTATGAAATTTTTCAAATTTTGAAGTATAATTTCTTTTTATTTTTATTTTTTGTAGGAAGAAGTGGTTACCACAGTAATAGCTCTAGCTTCCAGTGACCAGGATGGTTTTGTGAAACGAGCAACGGTTGAAACTGTGGGTTTGTTAGTAACCAAAGATTTTGGTAATATGTACAATACCTGTAAATCAATGGTCTGTTGGTTACTGAGGGCAGCTTGTAAAGATTTAGATTGGGAAGTGAAAATTGGAAGCCTAAAGGTGTGGTGCCATCTGGTGAAAAAAAACCTTCAGTCTTCAGTTGTTTCTTTTGAAAATCAGCTTTACTGTCTTTATACATATGGACTAGCAGACTGTTTAGTAGAGGCTCTTGATGATCAAGACAGAGTAGTCCAGCATCATGCAGCAACTGTTTTGTTAAACATTCGCCAGAACCTTGAGAGATCTGGGGTTGAAGTGATGAATAAAGGTGACTTTGGGAAAGGAGACATTAAACAAAACTGTGCTTGCACTGAAAGTACAAGTAATTACTCCTCCAGCCTTGGAAAAGAATCCAGTATCACAACCCAGATGATGTTGCACACAGAATGTAGAGAAACTGCGATTGAAACTATTCTAGACATGGACAGTATTAGTAGGCTACATCTGGCATTAGTAAAGCAAGAAGCACCAACACAGCAAAATAAACTTTCTCACTATTTTAGCCAAGTTAAAGTTCATAGCTCTGAAGTGTTCCAGCCGAGAGTAAGTTGGAAGGAATTCCTTAAAGTTGTATGGGCTGATCATATAAACACAGTTTTGTTGGAAACATCCAAGTCAGCTGAATTGTATGCAGACAATCCAAGCTCTCTACTAGATGATATTCTTGCCGCAGCATCTCATAAAGCAGGAACACAAGAGGATGACCCAGAAGCCAGAGACTGTTACTGAGATGAAAGTATGATCTTAAATAAATACTGACTCTTCGTTAGTTAGTTATTAAAATCTGGAATCCCAGTTTTTGCATTAAAAAATATTTTAAACAAATACTTGAGTTACAGTTGGATATTATAACTTAAACACTAAAGCACTACCAAACTTTTAATTCTGATACAAAGATTAAATGTTTGCATATAAACATACATACCCAGAAATGATATACAGCAATAAAATAACTTGATATTATAAAAAAATAATGTTAATAGTTTAACCAAGCTCAGGATTAAACCTTCAGTTCTACAAATACAACTCAAGTTTTTTAACTAGTTTATCTGTCTTAAGATAAACTTTAAAAATAGTGTTTATTTTGTATTATTTACATTAGGATGTCATGTTAGTCCAGTAGTGGTTCCCGTTGGCTAACGGCACTATAGTTACACCAGGAAAATTAAAGCTTGATCTGCTTTAACATTAATTTCTACTTTGTATTTAATAATTTCTCGCTAATGATTCCCTTTGTTTCAAATAATCTGAGGACCAATTACACATTGAAAAAGGTACTGTGTACAGTATAGTTAATATAACTCATATAGATGATTGTTTTAGAATAATTTAAATTTTGTCAGCCAGAGCTCTCAGAAAAAGGTGAGCCAATAGTTTTAATAACTAATGATTCTAATTTAAGAGTGCGATGTTCAATAAATTGTTTTAATTTACTTATCAGCTTAAGTTTTATTAATTAGTTTACCAAAATAACGCTTTCAATAAAAGTTTTCTTCCTTCGCTAAAATGCTCATATCTTCTGGTGCAAGTACAGCATTGTTCCAATAGAATGAAATCAGTTCTAATAAATGAAAAATGTTTTGAGAGAAAAGACTAGATATATAGGAAACGTGCAGTCCTCTAACATACAGGTTTTATATTAAGCACAGTTCATTAATTTAAAGTTTACATATTATTTTTTAATTTTATTATATTTTCTCTATTGATTATTATTATAGGAGTGTTAGCTTACAGATTTTGAAGCCTATTTGTATTAGAGAATATCAAAAACGTTGCATATCATAATTTTGCTAATGCATATGATAACCATATAGTTACTGGTAGGTAAAGTAAATCAACTTGACTAACTAATACTTATGGTAAGGTAGTGGTGGTTGTATATCAGTCATTGTCATAGTTAGTAATTATTAATTAATTAGACAAATTACTTGCTAATTAATGATTACACTTAGGAGATTGTATAGGCTACTAACCATGACAACGATTGACTGAATAGTCTTCTTTACAAACAGAAATTTGAAGTTACTTGTCACTAAAATAGATCAGCATGAAAGTGCACGTTGTACATCTTCGTGGTACCATTTCTTTTTGGGTTTTTTAGAAACATCTACAGAGAAACAACGATCTAGGGCCAGGTATCGTCGGTCAATATCTCCTTCCATCATGGTTTTCACTTGGAAACCTTTAAGTACCTTATAGGGTTCACCATAATGTTTTGAGTTGTTTGGTAGTTGGGAAGATAATGCTTGCGTTGAGTGAAGTGATTTTCTTGAGCTGTTTAGGTGTTGATGCTGTATGCTTGATAGCTGACTATTGTATTTAGAAAAATCCTCCTTTGGTATGGAATCGTGAAGTACAGGTGACTTTTGGAACTCTCTTCCTTTATTTTGTAGAAATGATTTGTCCTTGTTTTCTGAAAAACTGTGTTTTGGTGGCTGTGTCTTTTCAAGCTTTTTGACAAATGCTTGTTGCCTCAACCAGATGAACAGATGATCTCTTCGGGCTTGAGAATCTGGACCTTTGAAAGTTGGGTCTGAAAATGATGTGTTGCACTGGCAAGCCTCCCGAGCACTGATGACACAGCAAGCAATTGATAGAAGACAGTCCAGGATGGCCAGAAACAGCATGATGGCATTCATAGCAATAGCTGGAACTCTGGAGGTTACCTTTCCCAAAAAAGAAAGTTGGGTTTCCATTATTATTATTATTAGTGTAAACATCTGTGGGGGCATGGATATCATGAGTAAGCCCAGTAGCAGTGAGTATAATTAGAACACCTGTGGCACCAATACTTAACATGGAGATAGACATAAAAACAATCAAGCAGACCACCTTTTTTGGATGTCTTCCAGCAATTACTCCAAAGATACCAGCAGCTAACACTATCAACCCTGTCCACAATCCACCTCCTATGTCAGCCATATTGGCTGATAGCAGAATGGCTAGTGATCCAAAGACAATGAGTATGGTGCCACACAGAATTTTGGCCATTCCAAGACCCCGAGCAAGCTTTGTTGGAAAGAAGTGACCAATTTCATCCTTCAAAAGGGGTGGTAAGAACATGGCTGGTTGATCTTTGTAGAGCACACTACTTGTTGGGTTAAACTTCATTGCTTGAGAAACATTGGAACTCATCATGGATGTTGGCACAGGTGTTCATGACCTGGGAACCAAGAAGAAGGTCAATGAGAATATTTATATTGCAAAGAGTATTAGTAAGAAAAAGAATTAATATATTCAAAAATAGGGGTATAATTGGGAAAAGTATGCTTATAATCATTCATACTTTAAGATATTCAAAGTAATTATTACTTCAATACCCATGTATTATTACATATATACAGTATTTCATTGTTGTGCCATGAAAACTGTAGAAATAAAGAAATTGATAGGAGTAAAGTCGGCAGGTTTTGCACACAGCTTCTGGTGTGCTCTAAATACAAGGCAACTCTTGAAGTCTGAGGATCACATAAATTTCTTAGAACTTCTTATCGAGTGCTGTTAGCCACTGTACATTTGATCCATAATATACTTTAAATGGTGATTGATCGAGTGCTAGTTAGTAACTTAAGACTGAACAATTTGTTAATGGCATTGAATATGAACTTGTGTTAGAAGAGCCATAGTACACCCCCTTCAGTACCCCACTACCCCGTTAGCTCAGCAGTAAGCTTGATAAGTTATAATACTAGAATTCAAGGCTTCATCCCCATTGTGAGCATGGTGAAAATAGCTCATTGTACAGTCTTGTACTAATACTAAATATTTCATTCAGTGTTGTTTAATCGATACTTAAGTTATGAAGTGATGACTAAACTTGGTACATGAATTTTCCATGGCATATTTATTAATGAGCTATTTCATTCATCATGAGTCTATGTAAAGTTGAAATCACTTTTGATATAATTGCTAAAAGATGTATGATGCTAGTTTTTAAGGTTGTTTCATTCTTTGGTCAGTACTGTATTGATAATTAAAATATTTTGCTGTATTTTTTTCTGTTTAATCAAACTTGTTGACTGTTCTGTATTTAACACCAATGCATTTCATTGTGTTAATTAGATATTTGGTAATTGTTATCAATATGAATCTAAAGTAGCATGTTATGAGGAGAGGTGTTGGAATTGTTAGATTACATCTTTAATAATTGATTGAACTTTTTCTGTTGTGGATTATGATTCTCAACCTTAAAATGTCATGGAACAATAAATATATCTTGAATTTCAAACAGTGCCCAAAATAAAGAAAGAATCACCACACCTTATCATAGATTTATGGGTTTATAAGTTCTTTTCAACTACCTATAATAACAACCTAAAATAATTTAGGTGTGTGAATGATGTTACGACTTATGCCTAAATTATTATTCCATATTATGTATTGGACCAACTATTTAATGATTATGTATATGTGTTACAGATTTCTTTTCTTTCTCTCCAACAGTAAAATTCAAAAGATAATCTAAGATGTAGAGTCCTAATGCATTCTTTGATTTGCTGTATGCTTTGCTGTGGACTGCAGTTTCACCTATTCAAGGTTCATCAGCACAGCTTGGGTCAGCAAACCAAAGAAATACAGTTAGGCCTTTTACAACAGTGATTAGTATATAACATTTATGGGGTTTTTGAGTCATTTTTAATCACCAGTACTGCATTAGGCCTCAACTTCACAGATTATCTTTTCCATTTTATTTTTGGTGAGAAAGAAAATAAATCTGTAATATATATATATATATATATATATATCTTATCATAGATTGTTCTGACATTTTGTTGGAAATATGTTACCTTAGAGTATAATGTGTAATTCTGGATCCCCAGAGACTCAACAGTGTTTGATACCCGTGTTAGATAGAGCACAGATAACCTTTGTAATACTTTGTTCTAAAAGGCCAACAACAATGAATCTGGACATCGATTGTGTGGATTTATGATATTTCAGCTTTCCTCACATTGTTGACATTGTGAAGTTCCTGAAGCTTTGCTTTTTTAGTAATTAACTGACCTGATCTAAATCTAATTTTTATTTTAAAAGTAGTAGCATTAGCCAAGACTGGGTATGGTCGGGCATATGCTTGGCTAATGCTCAATTGAGTGATGATAAGGAAACAGAAGCAAAAAATAACTAGTTTGTTGCAGTAGGTATGGTGCAAATACAAAGGAGAGTGTCAAGTAATCAATGAGCTGATAGAATCGCGCATTAGTATGTAATTACGTAAATCATTTAGTTTACTAAATTAAATGCTCCCAGTGTGTAGAATGAGTAACCTGGCTATTTTTGTATAAAGTACTGATGTTTTGATCTTGCATGCAATGCAGGACATTTTATATATTTCTTTAGCCACAGGCTAGGCACGTCTGAGCCCCTTCCCATAAGACCTGTGCCCCAAATGTATTTCACAGTGCCCTAGATATATCTTTTGTAACATTTTCAATACCTACCAATAACTCTGCCATGATCTTGAAAAGGAGCTGTGCATATGTACAAATATACAAGGGGACCAAACCAAGTGTTGCATGCAATATGAGTAATTTAGTGAAAACAGGTTCATACCTTGTGTCACTTTTGGGCATGATCATATTTGAAGATTAATCATGCAATACTTTAATTAAGTGAAGAATCAGCCTTAAATGTTGCTCGTATTTGATGGCAGAGTACCTTCATCTTTTGTTTTTCACGCAAAATACATCTACATACTTGACATTTGGGTTATTCAAGTTACAAGCTAATGTTGAATAAGTACACTTTGATGAATTTCTGCAAATTGCAAATGCAGACTGATTTTAAGTATTTTTACTCTGTTGAATTCTAAGTTGGGCAGAACTAACCTCAGTAAAGTTCACTTAATAAAAGGAATATGTCACTTTTATCAGTTCAAATATTTTATGTAAGCTGATTCAGTTTATACAAAATACTTTGGGCTTTTTAATTTAAAAATATCTGTACAATAATAACTAAAAATTCGTTGATGAAAAACTTGTGTAGAAAAAGTTATCATTTTGAAACTGATTTTAAGGATTATCATATGAGTGGTTACCTTTGAGTGTACTGGTGAATTTAATGGTCCTTAAAGTCGATCCTATAGACCATCATTTGTTGGAGTTTTTTTCAATAAAATGATTTACAGAAGTTGAGTACATTATATTAAAATTATTTTGGAGCCTCACTACATTTGTAACAGTTGGGACAAATGCAGTTCAGTGGTTAGTGTGCCAGACCGACACTGTAAATCTAAGGTTCCATATTTTGCACCCTGTTAAAATGCCATTAAAAACTTGTGGTCTGCAGTTTGGAATTGTGGGTGATGTGACTAAGTGCCTTCCGTCAACTAACTTTGCATGAAATTCCACAAACAAATCATTACAATCCACGTTGATATGTTTATTTGTGCTCTATGTGATGACCATGCATCTTGACAATAGTCCAGCAACATGATTTCCATTGCAAAAGCCTTTGTCATAAGGCTGTCATAACAAAATATACCATTCCTCCATGCATGCTTTCCATAATGCATCTAGTATATGATGACGATGGTTCCCAGTACCTGTTCCAACACAAAATTCCATAGGTGATGCAATTCGATTAGTATTCTTCGTATGAATACCCGTTTTGTTCCTCAGCTGTTTGAGGTATGTAACGGTTGAACGGGAGGTATAACTGGAAACCTTACCTTCGTGAACTCGTACCCTGCTGGCCTCGTTTCTAGACGGAGATCTTTCTCGATTGTTTTGCGTACAATACGTGCCTGGGTCACGTGGACTGTTTTTGCCACTGATCATTGTGTTCATGGATCCTCACCTATTACAAGACGTTGCTTACTGTGCTTACGTCTTGTTGCAGATCTTTCTAGATAATCTTGATTCTACAACTTGATCCAAATTCCTTTGTTTTCCAATGACCATTTAGTGCAAGGAATTTTTCCCTCTTTGAAATTATAAATCCCCGTTCTAAACACATCTTTATGACCTGAGTGTATGAATATTTTGGGTCAGAAAGGGCTGTTGCATACGGTTCCCCAAAGCGATCATTATGGTTCTGATACGTGCCGTTCAACCGCAAGTTTATATTTAAGATACCCCCCCCCCCAGTGGCACAGCGGCATGTCTGCGGACTTACAACGCTAGAAACCGAGTTTCGATACCCGTGGTGGGCAGAGCACGGATAGCCATTTGTGTTGCTTTGTGCTTAACTTCAAACAATTTAAGATTGGCCTAGGTATTGTTTGCCTTAAAAAATGCGAAGCCCTAAGTACCAGGGTAAATAGATCACACAGTCCAGGGTAGCGGGAGATTTAGGAGGACTTGCCTCTCCCCCACAAATAACTTTTTAAATTATGACACATACCAGTAGCTTTGCTATAAAATATAAATATGCGACGTAAATAAGATACATTCACTATGCTTTTTTTAAAAGATCATCTTAATTTCATTTGGTCACAAATTTATTTTATACTCGACGTACAATAAACTTTGGCGATTAGTAGAAAAGTTAAGTGTAGATTCAGACATTGATGGCAGGTGAACATAAAAGGTTAAAATATTGTTTGATAAAAAAAAAGTAATCATTGAAAAAGGTAAGTAAACATGCTAGTATAGTGATCAAAATGTATTGAGTATTTATGAATTTATCTTAATCATTTTAGTGTTTGAATTACAGAATGTAATTATCTGAAGACGAAATTGGGTGGATGGAAGCTGAAACTGGCCAACAGGAGAAGATTGACACTTTAGAAAACGGTTTTCCTGACCCCAACACTGACATTGGAACATGGAGATTGTCGATAAGCCATACTTATTATCAGACTACACTTATTTGTAAAGAAGGGGTTCTTTGTTTTAATTATTGCACAAGAAAACCAAACATGTCAATGATAGTGTGATTCTTTTTTTTAAACTGAAAAATTGGAAATATTTTTCTTATTCTTTTTTTTTTTTTTCTTATGAGTTGATTGGATCGCAGGAAGCAAATAAACATTTTATTTTAGCCTGAGGAACAAAATGTTTCCTATAAACTGTATGGAGTATACGTATATATTATTGAATTAATTTCGAAAAAAAAACATTCATCAACACAAGTTATCACACTAAGTACCAGCTTTTATCACACTAAGTACCAGCTTAAAGTAACAAAGTTTATAACACTTTTAAAAATTTGGAATATGTTTTATTACAGTTTTGACAGATTCAAGAATAGACTAAGAGATACCGAGGTTCTATATCATACTTGTTAGTTTAGAAAAAAAAGTCCTAATTTACATTAAATCCACGTTAAATAATAACAATAATATCGAAATGCTTTTTGACTAAAAAAGAATCAATTTTTATTTCGTGAATGACGTATAAGTCAATTTCTTCAATATGGTTTGTTTATTCGATTAAAACTATATTTTTAACGTATATATACACACATATATTATACATCTTTATGAAACTTACCTATAAGGACATCATTTTATGGTCCGAAATGAAAGGTTCAGTTATTCATATTCTTTAAAACCTTCGTGTTTTTTTTTTAACACCGCCATTCACTAAATGGTATTTTGTAGTAATATGTTCAAACACTTATCATTTGTGAAGGTTACTGTCTCACTGAACATAAGGCAACCTAGTTGTTGATCTACGCATGCGTGAAGAATTACTGAGTTATTAACCGGCCCATCTTCATGCTCGTTGACCCGATAACCTACTTTGTACTAAAACTTGGCTACGCTCGTGACTGTACAGAATGATAAACTAATATATCTTAAGGATTTGAGCCAAGCGGATTTAAGGTCAGTTACAAAATCGTTGGTGATTGTGGGTGTGATGTGTTCTCGATAATTGTATCGACGGAGACACGTACGACTCCATAAATGTTTAGCCAGGTACCCTACTCGTTTCATGTCCAGTGGCAGAGATATGTTTATTTAGTTGTCAGAATGTTGTAAAAGTGCGTTACTGATTTTAATGAAATCACAAACTAATGCAATACACGTACAGAATGTATTCCATACAAGGTTTGACCCGTGTAACACCACAATTTTGGTTTGTATAATTCATCCCCAGCACCCCATCCCACCAGCTCTTGAGCTATCCTAATCTAATAGTACGATTTAATTGTCATTTTTATAATTCCCCCACGGACCCAAAGTATCGGAGTACGACAAGTTCACCACTAGGCCTCTTCCGGCTACTAATAAATTAATGAAGATTGCTCTAAAAGTGACGTCACGCGTGATGTATGATAACTACACCCATCAGTAATACACGTGTCTAAATATTTCAGTCAAAACGTTTCAATTGCCAGATAAATGTTTACATTCCAAAGAAGATCCAGTACTGAGAAATCCTGCGCATGTATGAATTTTGTAAGCTGACTCAATATTTCATGCTTATAATAACCTGTATTAGCGAACAGCTCAGTTGGTAAGTAGAAAATAATTTAAACTGCAAAAACATAAAAATTATAGGCATAGATACAAACGTTGATGTAAAATCTGAAATCGCATAAAATGAATTGTAAAAACAATGTATACACCTTGACCATTTCACCTGCAGGTCACTAGGCCTCGCAAATCTGTGGAAAAAACATTAGCGAGTAATTTGTCGTGGTATATTCGGTTGATTTTAATATGACGTAGAATATTCGAATAACTGTTCCAAGAAGAATAATAAAAAGTCAACCAACTAGACTAATGTAAATAATGAACCTGTACCTATAGTTTGTTTTTGTACCAGGGTCGGATTCTGAGAGGTTTGCAACCTCCCTTTCCGATGTATTACCAGAGGTACCCTTAGACCTAATAAAGAAAGTGAATTTCTTTAAAAGGTTTCATGACCTGGAGGAAAAATACTTCCCACTCCGTAACAAAAATCCTGGTTCCGCCCCAGCATACGAATATGAACATACAAACATAGACTTTAATTGCTCTAGTACTACTCGCAATAGTACTGTTTTACATATGTTTATTGAAAATAATACTATTTTCATTCTAAATACCACCACCCATCTCAGTGGCTCTTAAGATAACGTAGATATTGCACGCTTCCAACTTTAAAGTACACAAAAACATAGGTGGGGATCATGTGTGTGTGTGTGTGTGTTTTGTTATAGCAAAGCCACACCGGGCTGTCTATTGTGTCCACCATGGGGAATCGAACCTCTGATTTTAGCGTTCTAAATCCGAAGACTTACGGTGTCCCACTGCTATTGGGATTAGTATCCCTTCTCTCCACTAACCTTGACTTTACTAAAGCTGACTGGGAATCTTTTTAGAACTAATGTCGGTGAACTTCTCCCAAACATCTGTACTCATGTTTCCTCTACTAATGAGCCAGATGACTATGCCTTCTCTGTCTCTAAGGCTGTTTCCGAAGGTATGCACAAGTTATTCCCACCCGCACTACAAACCACAATCTAAAATAATGAAAACTAACACCGGAATTTCACAACCACATTCTCAGGAAATGACGCGATCTCTCATGTATTTCTCAAAATAAGGAAACTAAGAATCAAAGTAGAAGAATTTATGTGCCTTTGTAGATAATTCTAAACACAACCCAGCTCCTCTTTTGGTGGAAATTCGAATCTATCTGTAACGCTAATTTGTCGTACTCACGACTGTCAAAGGAAATGCTAATCTTTTTGCGAGTTATTAAAAAGATGACTTTACTGGACACCCAGGATGAAGCTAACTGCAAAGTGAAAACACACACATATTACTAATATTGCTCAACATGTAACCCGTCCTTCCCCATAGCCTATACGTATCCTAACCATTGTACCACCCTTATAATCTCTTAAAACTGAATTAATAATACACATTAAACGCTAAAAGAATTCAGCCCTCCGTTGAATACGTCATCCGAAATTCTCGTATCACATCTTGGAGATTTATTCAATCAGTCTCTCCAATCTGGACATCATCTTACTATATGGAAAGTAGTTATAATTAAATTTATCCTTAAAAATAGCTCGGAAATAGATAACCCTATCCATTATCGCCCAATTAGCATTTTAAACAGTATTGGTAAAATTCCGGGGGGAGAAAAACATTTATGCAAGGCTCGCGCGTCATTCAGAAACTAAAACTTGTTATCCAGCATTTAGAACACTTCTCGTTAACATAGACAAATTAGTAATCACTAAAATTGATAAATACTCTAGTCGTTGAGCCAAAATAGGGATTTGTAGCTCGAGAAAATAATGTAGACACCGTTTCCAGCCCAGTTTACTTTTTATTTTGTGTAGAGTCTCTTGTTGTAGGCTTGAAAATATAATCTTTGTATTTTGACTCAATTTGCATTTGTACTTTCTTGGCGATTCCTATTTCTCTTTTTAAATTAACAATTTTTAATTATCTTGTTATTATTCACCAGGTGTGTAGCCAGCACTACAAAGTAGAGGAGGGGATCTTTTTCAAAAGACAAATTAGACCTTTTCTTCTACACAGAACATTTATGTGATTTACATGAAAGTCAAGTGTTTATTTTATTTTTAATCAGAGGATATTGGACTTTTTAGAATATTAGGGTGTAATATGAGAGCGCGGGAGAAGAGAGATTCTTATCTCGTAACCCCCTTTATGACTACGACAACACGTACGATTTAATTTAATAAGTGATTTTCTTCCAGCTTGTGCACTGGTCAGGTACATATTTTCAATGGGTTTTTCTCAGAGTACTTCTTTAAAATTTGATATCTACCTATCGCCTCCACATATATTCGGACAACACATCACCACAGCCGACGCCATTGATAGCCCTCGTCCTTTACTTGCCCCTAAATTTGTGTACTCATATATGTTTTCATATATTTATATTTAGGGAAATTTCATAATTTTCAAACACCCCAGGTATTAAATCTTCACCATAAAGGAGGGGGAGATAGAAAGAACTTTCTTGCTTTGCTTATAGGTTAAGGAAGCGGGGTCGGCACCAGTCTCTTCCCGATGATGGAGTTGAGGTGCACTAGACAAAACAAATTGAGGGGGTACACTCTTCATCTTGTGAGTACATATGCTTTAACCCTCAGTACATTTCGTTGGGTGCAGAGACTAGGCACATTTAGCAGCATCTTCAGCCCAAACAAGCCCATCCTTGTCACCGCCTCTGCAAGTAATAATACTATTAAACTGGTTTTTAAACAAACTTTGGAAAATACGCAAGTTTAAAGCGTTACTAAAAGGGCGATGTTGTAGGACTGTAGTTTAAATTCTTGTTCATAAATTTAAAATAGGATGAATTTAGCACATGGAAACTATGTTACGTAAAGCACAATATTATTTTCAAATCTCGAACAGCGGATAACGAAGGGTAAAGTTGAAAAGTTCGACCGCGTTTCGTGACGTACAAACGTTGTTTATAAAGAACACAATGGCCTCACAAACTAGAAACTACATCGAGTACGTTATAAAAACGAACAAGGTCAGTAGCGTTCCCAGTCAAGGTCAACTTGGAGAATATCCTAGCAAAATTGGCACAGTATTATGACCTTCTAGACGCTGGAGTCATCGACACAAAATAGTTTCAAGCCCTTAAAATAAAATAAAAAAGAGTTGATTTTAAGGTGATTTCTCTTATTGATAAACTCTTTTTTAAAATTTGTACACAATAAAATTACTCTAAATGCATAGTTTTAACAAATTTAGTGTGAAATATTGAGACAATTTTCAATAAATTAAAAGAGTATTTTATTATTTAAAAGCTAGACATTTAGCCTACAGTATGCACAACTCAAAGACTCGTCCTCAGATGTTATAGAAAGCCCATGCATAACATATACTTCCATGTGAAATTAATAACCGTACTTTTATTAATCATCCAGCATCCACAATATTTCCTATGTAATTTATTCTCTGCTGTTTTTCGCAAGTATTAGGTCATCAAGAAATTAATGTAGCGTTTTGGAACACTTTAATCCCCCCCCCCAAAAAAAAAACAACTTACATCACGCATAATAGTTAAACAAACCACTTAAACTGTAAAGTTTGGTATATTCTAATC